GTTTAATTTTTTCAGGTGTCAATGTTTGCTAAATACTTGACAAAGGACTTCTATAATTAAGCAATTTTTATTTGTATAAATTTGCCTTTAAAATCACACCATACTAAAGTATATATTAAGACCATCTGACGGGGGTTTCTTTGATAAGTGAATTAAGAGATTACAAAAAGACTTTTTCAGAAGTCCACAACCAATGTTGGAATACTATCCTTAGGACCAAAATTGTCTTCTCCAAAACATCTGATTAAAAGCCTTTAACTTTCCCAGGCTTTTCTATTTGTTGAGTTGAATTTGCATTCTTTCAATTGGCTTCTGCACTGCTAACATGCAGGTTGGGGAATTCTGGGAGTTGGGCCATATATCTTAAAATTGCCAAGGTTGAGGAAACACTGTTATAGAATAATATATTATGTTGTGAGTGAAATACTGTCTAAAAATTTAAAAATTAAAAACCTAATTTAAAAATATGCTACAAATTACAATGTAACAGAAACATTAAGCATATGGTTTTAGCCCCATAGTTTTGCTCTTCTTAGAATGAAAAAAGCACTAAAACTGCAATTCAATTTGTGGTTGAACCACTAAACATACATAGGTAGAACTAGAGTTTGAAAAAATTGTTATTTGTGGAGAAATTATTAAAACAAGTTTATTTAATTTTAAAGCATATAATTTTTGTTTACATAAATCCAGACAAATAAGAACAATGCTCCAAATATTTTGGGTATTCTACAAGGATTTCTGGTTATCAAAATTTAGCATCCAAATGTAAAATGAATATCTATCTGATATTCCCAGCTTTCTCTCCTGAAACTGTTGCATCCATCATTTATATAAATCAAACAGAAAATTCTTCTCATTTGAGAACAAACAATGGAACTCAAGAGTAGAAAGCTCAGAAGAATTGAATGAATCATTTCATAGCTATCCTTACATAATCCTAAAATCCAATTTTTAAACAATGTTAATTATTAATTCTAGTCACATAAAGGCCAGTTTGGTGTAATAGTTAAGATATTCGCCAGAAACCAGAAGGCTGTGAGTTCTAACACTCCCTTATGCATGAAATCTAGCTCAGTGGCATTGGGTTAGACGCCCTCTCAGTCAAATCCACCTCACAGGATTGTTATTTTAGGGAGAATAAGATGTAAGATTATTAAGTATGTTTGCTGCCTTGAGTTGACCAAACATATATTTTAAAACAAGGTGAGATAAAAGACTAATATAACAATAGTAATAATGTATTATTACTAATATGAAAGAATTGGTAGAAAAATACTAACTACATTGGATACATATTCAGGATATAATTTATGAAATCATTTTATATCATGAAAATTACATTCATGAAGAAGACATGAATGTAACTAAAAATTATATTCATAAGGAGGCATGAATGCAGAAATTTGTTTTAGCCTCAAATGTAAGAAAATACAATACTGATAACATTTATTCTCAAATCATGCCAATACTATATAGTATGTATGTATGTATATATATATATATATATATATATATATATATATATATATATATATATATATATATATATATATATATATATATATATATATATAGTATTCTTGAATTATAGTGTTCATGTTTTGGTGTCGCTTTTTAGTTTTTGCATTGTTTTGATAGCCTTATTAATTTGTATTTCTGCCATCACTTACCTTCAAAATAATATCTTCTTCACCATTATCTATTTTGAATATTTAAGAGAAAAGCATGATATAAGGGTTGAAATTAAATTAACTAAGCTATGAACTTGGAAAGTTGCTGTTTATTGTCCCAGGGAGTTCAACACTGAAGTTTCTTCCAAGAGTTGCAGCAAGAAGCCTTTCCAGGACCTTTTTGTAAATACCCTGAATGTTTAGGGCCCATTTTAAAATCATGTGTACATCTATAATCTGTTCCTAATTAGCTTTACTATTATTTACATGAAGTGCAAATAAACTTCTAGGAACAAAGCTCCTGTCATTTCAAGTTGTGCTATGGATCGGTAGGTTCACTATACTCAACTGATAGTCCATATTGCATATCTCTGTCACAATAAAAACACACAATGTGGCACCTTACAAGTTATATATCGCCATCACTCTTGGCTGCAATTGAGTTGCATCAAAATATTCAGCTTATCAATAACTTGATCCCAAACTTGTGGAAAAACAAGTTCAGTTTAAATCATTGGGACTGATGTGCAAGACTAGTGCTAAGATTTTCAAAATTCACAATGATTTAAACTGGAAATTTGAAAATCATAATATCAGTTTTAAAACGTCTAAGACCCCGCATTTTTATCACAAAATTATAATGCTAACCAACTTACCTAACAATAATTTTGCCTGTTTATTAAACAGCTTAGTCTAATAAAACTGTAATGTTGCAACCATGTTATTAGTCTAAGATAAATCCTTCTTGTCTAGTAACAAATGATATTTTTCTGTAATTATAGATATGTAGAACTAAAAACTAAGTTATTAAAGCTAAGGGAATGATTCAAACTAAGGTGCTGTTTTCTTTAATTTTATTGGGAGTGATCTAAGTTTAGGACTGGCTTTGCTTTATCTCTGAAAGTGATACCCAATGCGCTTAACTCTGCCTGGATTGTGGCCCAATACTTCTCAGGAAATAAAACCATTGTTTTGTAGTTTTAAATTGCCAGGCAAAGGATCAAAAGGAAAATTGCTTTCAGTTGTTAAAGCATTTTCTCCTTGGTTGCTACTGTAGGTCTCTGATTAGTTTTTACTGGCAACATGCTTGTATTGAATTTATTCCTGCTGGTGTCCTAACGGAAAAAAAGAGGAAAAAAATCCTGATATTTCTTCATCTAACATACACTAGCAGTCCAAATTAAACAAATGAGATTAAAGTAAATTCTATGGCTATATTCTTGTTAATTTCACAAACTCCTTTGCCCTGATCAAAGAACAATTTCAACATCCCTATGTAAAGAAGACTTGTTGTGTCACTTGAAAAGGGGACGAATTTCTTCCCATTCATTTTAAAAGCAGCAAGATTGGCTCTTAAGAATTTTTAGAATATTGACAGTTAAATCTCCTAACAATACATCTGTAAAGATGTGCTCCCTCTTCCAAATTGTCCCTTTACCTCAAAGTAAAAACTGAAGGAGAAAAAATCCTCCCTATTCAGCTACTTTATAATTAAGCTGCCTCTGAAACTTCCTGCTAAGAGCACTTCAAAAGACCTACAGTCTCTAGTTGACAATCCAGTTTTCAGGATTTGTCCTTCCTTACCTGTCTTACATGAGTTACAGCCAAATAAGTAAAAAAAATGTGTATTTTCTTTCTGCTATGAAATGCATTACAATGATATGAAAGACTAAATAAAAAGTGAAAAAGAAAATAATTAACATATTGCTTTTGCTATATTTGCTGAGTTCATTCTGTGCTATATCTCCACAAGTACACAAATTCACTTATCTGCCCTTCACATACCACCCGATTCATTAAATTTTGTCTTGCCTTGTTGCTGCCTCACGCATGTATCGTACCAATGCATACTCTGAATTTTCTGTTCTTGCTATTCAGCTATTCTTCTGCAGCTACAAAAGTGAAATGAATTATCATCATTGCTTTTATATAGTTGCTTTATAGGCCTCGTTGTTTTATTCTGCATTACCTTATTATTATCTTACAGTTGTGTCAGAATTTCAATTAACAATCACTTCAAAAATGCATGTGTTAGTTTGTATGAGGTAATAGTTATCAGAACTCAAGTTCAAACCTTGGTTGTGGCATTGTTGCTGAATTGCAAGCATGTTCTTGCAAAAAAAAGGGGGAATAAAAGATTCAAGAGACTATTTCTGTAAAAATAAAGAATATGCACTCTTATTTCACAGTGGGGAAAGAGAAAGAACTGCACATCTTTTGAATTCAGAATAAAAAACATGAGCTAAATAAAGAACAGCAAAAACAATTATAGCAAAAATATTGATTTTCATGTACCAAATGTATCTTCTCAAATTCTTCCTTTTTATTATCTCCTATTTTAGCTCTTCCAATGCTAAATAGGCAACAATATTTTCTCTATAGTTCTACTTTTTATATTTCTGGCTGCTACTGGAATAGAAATCTTCACTTTTATATTTTGAAAATTTAATCTCAAGAGAATCTTGCAAAGAAAAGTCTGTGTGCTTCAAAAGAAAGCTTTCAAAATATTTATTTAGAAAGTGTATAACCCACATCTCAGTTTAAAAACAGAAGATTCGCACAGCAGAACATAAATAGGAACTAAATAATAATGGTAACTTAAAGTGTAAGAATAAATTACATTAATTTGTCTTAAACTACAATATGCTTTACACCAGCATGAATAGTTTGCTAAATATGAACTCAGAATATCCCAAGAATATTTATTTTATTATTTTTACTTTTGCTTCAAATAAGCCTTGCCCTAATAAATTGAAATGATAATGTATTGCCTTCAATTAGCCTATGTACATGCCTGATAGATGTGCACATAGTTTCTTGAGGCTCATACATGAATGAGGCTTTATCCTGGTTTACTTTTCAGAATGTTATCTATTAACTAATAATATCCTAGCTTATGTCATATTTTTAAAGATTGTGAAAAAGAGATTCAGTATGGACTGAAAACCCTTAAGAGTCTGCAAGCAAAGAATTTTGTCCTATGCAGCCTTTTCAAGAAAAATATGAGAAAAAGTGTTTCTTTCTAATCCAACTTGTCTTAACTAACTACTGGTAGCTGTGTGTCTGCTAGTTGGTTTTTCTATAAAAGAAGACTAAAAAAATATAACTCGTTTATTATAATCATAAATGGAGCTCCCTTCTGCTGCATATGTAAATCAGACCTAATTGTAAGGATACTAGCCAGGATTTGCACAGAAATTATAATGTGAAAAAATACTATACTTAGTATTAGGTATGTTCATTGCCTTGACTTATATATTAAAAAATGAAGGATAAAAATTAAATAATGTTTCATGTTTTTAAAATAGGAAATTTAAAAATTTTAAATTTTTAAAAATAGTTGAAGACAAAAATACTATAATCCATTTACAAAGATACAATATTTTAATTAATTTTCCTCAGCTAATTTTCCCTATTAATCACTGTAAATCTATATTTATTTAGAAGCAATTTTTCCTCTACTTATGTATATTACCATTAAAATGATGTAATTTACATCATTTTATCAGTCTACTCCTGGATTTAGTGCTTCCATGTTCTTTTATTTCCCCCATATTACTGGTACTGTGAAGCTGAGAGGAAGTTCACACATTGCACTAAATTATAGTTTATCTTAGTTTACTGAGTGGCTGGATTCATGTAATATGCTATGAGATAAATTATAATTTATAAATCACAATAGCTGGGTTCACAAAGCCACAGTAAAATTATCCCGTATCAGGATTACTGCTTAATGCTGCAGTACGAAAACTAGAGAAGTGGTAATAGCCAACATTCACTGCACATACATGCATCTGTATCCAGGAAGATGTCCCACTGAATTTAGTGGACTAAATATTGACTAAATAATTAAATAGAACCAGGCAGTACTTATATTTAAAATGACAGCCAATATAAATTCCAGAGATTTTAACAAGATTTGATCTCAACCAAATTATCCTTAAACACAACCTTGTACAGGTTTAGCAAGCTTACAGGCCTTCTGAATTAATGAACATGGTCCTAACCCAGTGAGGAAAGGACTAAACAGAACTATTTTGTGGAGCTTTTTTCGGGATAATTTTTTTTACAGTGTAATGTTATGCACAGTCACTCAGAAATATATATCCCAGAATGCAGTCTTGGATTGAATTCATCCACTGCATAAAATAATGGTTTGCTTAACCATGATACGCAGCAGTCTTCTTCAAGTGAACTATCTTCAAATATGCAGACTGAGATTCCCAGCAGTCCCAGTGAAGAATGCCAAGTGGTGAGAATTGTAGAAGATACTCTACCAATACACGTAGAATGTCCAGGTTAAGCAAGGGTGGTTTCTTGAATAATTATACTTGGCTGGATTATTGCCAAAATGTCGAGTCATGGTTTCCAAACCAAAATGGCTGAGTTATTATTATAGCACAGTATTAGGTGAAAACAAACTGTTATGTCTTAATATATTGAATCAAACACTGACTTATGTACACGAAGAACTTGACAGGAGACTATGTTTCTTTTTTATCCATGATCCTACATAAACTTCTGCAGTAAAGTAGAAAAATATTAAAGGAAATTTGTCAGAATGCATTGTGCATTTAACACAACCACAAATTTTAGGATGTAAAACAAATAAATAAGAGTTAATCAACTTGCTCTGAAGATCTCTGCTCGTGTTTCTGGATAAAAAAGTAAGAACCCATTTTTGAGCTACTTGTCCAGTTAAGCCTGCTACTTATACATAAAACTTGCAGACCCCAAGTGGGAAGGAAAAATTGTTCTTTATAACATATAGAAGCATGGTTAAACTGATAGTAGACTGATCACTACAAAAGTAGTTATTCACTATCCCCAAAAAGCGAATCACTTTTTGTTGCGGTCTACAGATAGAAGTGAGGCTATAGATGCCAGTCTGCATCTCCCATTATTTTGAGCCAGTATAACCTTCCTGACTGGGAATGAAGGGAAACGTAGTTCACCACAAATGGGAAGTTTCCCTAAAGGAATCTGGCACAGTCGAGTGGGAGGAGTAGGTACCGTCGCCCATTAGACGCCAGCCCCTCTATAGAAGAGGACAGCTGTCTTCACGTGGCACACCGGGCTTCGTGTGGTGATAATAATCGAGTATCAATAGCAATGTTTTTCCACAAATCAGCAGAAGCGAGTGTGCAACGGGGGGGGGGGTTTCTTTCCTACACTTCTGGTAGATTTTCAGGCTATTCCATTTGCCAGAAATAAAAAAAGGAATGGTGAAATAAGTGTTTAATTTAAGACACCCTGCATACAGAGATCAGTGAACAGACTTCCTGCGGGGAAGAAGACGGCTGGGCTTTTTCTTGGAAGCCTAAGGGCATGGAAATCTGGGGCAGGCAACGAAAGCGGAAAGTCCATTTTTTTCTCAAATGAATGTGCAGCACATGCCACGGAGGGGCTTAGCTTCAGGAAGGCAACGCAGCCCACTTCTCCCCTCTTTGCAAAAGTTTTTTTTTAAAAAAACAATATGCAAGAAAGTCGCCAGCTCCCTCCACTCCCAAGAACCGATCCTCTCCCCGCCTCACCTCGGTGTCATTATTCAGGTTCCAGAGATCCAATCGGCCCATCCCGTCGACGCAGGCGAAGAGCGCGGGGTGCACAGGAGACCACATGACGTCGTAGACATAGTCGGCATTGTCTTCAAAGGAATAGAGCGGCTTGTTGTGCTGCAAAAGGGGGGAGGGGAAAAAGCAGAGGGAAGGGCAAGAAGACTTCGTGGCGCTACTGCCGCCTCGGGCTGTCTGGAGAGTCTAATTAAAAACTTTGCACATTCAACCAAGTGTCATAAAACTTTCCGCAGATGAAAGGTCCCAGGACGCGGAAGGCGGCGCTCTCCCAGGGGGGCAGCCACTGTCCGGAGAAAGGGATATGGGGAAGGAGAAAGGTATCCCAGACATTGCATACTGTATAGGTAAAGGGTGCTGCTACTGCTACTACAATGCGGAGGGAGTAGAGAAACGCCACCCGTAGTTTATGCTATGGGGTCGACTTGCCTAGTCAGAAAATCTTTCTCGTTCCCTCTTTCACATATGCTCACGCTTACACCCAGAAGTCTCCAGAGAGGCTCTCGTTTTGCAAGGGAAGACGATGACTGCCACCTAGTGCTCCTTGCGCAAAGTCGCAAATAACGCAAAAAGCTTGCGCTATTGCCAAACATGCCATCAACTTTTCCTTCTCGTCCTCTCATCAGCTAAATGGCTGAACTCGGTCCCTTAAATGCTGTTCTCTCCTACTTTATACCATCGCTTTCTGCTAATAGAACTGTCTAACCCATCGCTTTAATTTCAAGCGATTCTTTTGTTCTCTCTGTTTTTCTTTTGGTAAGAGCAATGTGATCTGCGGAGTCTAGAGGGTTTACAAATCTCACCCACCCCCAAACTGGGTATTCGAGATTCTCATTTCAGAAAAGAGGTGGCGAACTTCAGAGCGTGCAGCTGCCAAGAGTGTGGCGCTGCCGCTTGACTTTTACGAGTTTACGCATCATTTCATTTCACAATAGACAGGCGAGCGAGACAAGTTTAAAAGTACATGGGAACTGTAACATATAATTGGGTGTCATGAATTATTCATTACACTTACTTGCTTCTCCTTATTCTCAATTCTGAATAATAGCCTTGCCTAATTCCCAGTTAACAGTAAAATAACATTTAAATGATAATGAAAATTCCAAAAACAATGAAGAAATTAAATATTCTTATTATCCACCACAGAAGCCTAAACAACAGGATTTTTACATGTATTCAGATGACTGAATGTATATTTGTGTATATTTGTAAATAGGCTGTATGTGCAAACACAAATATACTTGGAAAATTTTGGAAGTTCCAATATTAAACTTCTGAGGATTTAACAATTGTTTTATAAGATGAAATTGATCAGGCACAAAATATTCATATACAGAACTTCTTTAAATATGACCAGTTTTTCAATAATTGTTCATTGTGTTCATATATTACTGTCAGCAATGCTTTAGAGCAACTATGGAATATATGTCACCTTCTACATATCAGCAAGCTATAATTTACATTTCTATTGTTAATGGCAAGTAGTGAGAAATGGAGGAAACTGTAATTTCATATCTGGATGATCAAAAATTCTCAGTTTGATCTAAGAATTTTTCAGAACGTTCTTCACTTTGATGGACAATTAACCTTATAAGAATTGACTTGCATAAAATATCTAGCTAGACCAGACATTTTAGGACATTTAGCTGTGGACTGGTACACATTTACAACTCTCCAGTGACTATATGTGATTTCTCTCATTCATTTCTTTGGATACATTACTAATTTGATTAAGTCCTTTAGTGAACAGCATTCAGTATCAAAATTTCAGAAACATTATCAAAGAATATCCAGATGTTCAAATTTGCCTTCTCAAGGTTGACAAGACTAATCTTTCTCAGTCTGGTGAGTTCCACAAATGTTAGACTAGGATTTCCATCAACATTGGCAGGGAAGTTATGTGAGATATTGTCCAAGATGTCTATGGAGATTCAATATCATCCAAGTCATAGTTATCCTAAAGATGCTTTTTCACATAGCAACTGGATTTTCTTATTATTATTTTTTTAAGACGTTTCGCTTCTCATCCAAAAAGCTTCTTCAGCTCTGACTGAAGAAGCTTCCCCACCATCCAGTCAAAGCTGAAGAAGCTTCTTGGATAAGAAGTGAAACATCTTTAAAGAAAAATAAGAAAGTCCTGTTGCCTCGTGAAAAAGCATCTTTGGGTATTATACAAGACATTTAGAGTCTGTATTGAAAGCTATCCTTTGAAATTTTCTCAAGAGTGTTTCTGCATGAAACCTTTACTGTGCAAATGCCCTGGCCCATACATGGCTTCTTAAGGATTTTTTCCCTTCTCATTTGTCATTTTCCATAATTTTTCCATTGCTTTTTTTCCTATCTGAGAAAGAGCATTAAAGATCATGAAGCAAAGAAACTGCTAGGAAAAAGATAGACTACATGGTACTTTATTATTACTTAACTTTGCCATCATGAAATAAAATAGAAGGTAAATATGATCTCTTTGTTTCTTTAATGAATGTTCATTTTGCTTGCCTTTTTGATTTTCAATTTTCTTCCCAAAGGCAGCAACTCACAAGATGATCCTTAGAATTGTTAAATGCTGATGTTATAAAATCTTGATAGAAACAGAGCCGGTGAAGAAAAATTTTAAAATATTGCTCAGTGTTTTCTTCCAATGTTTAGACTATGTATTTTATAGAACACATTGCATTATAAACATCTATAATCTATCCACTCACTTAAGTCTTCTGTTAAATCCTGCTTCTTTTATTCAGACAATCATAGATGAATAATAACTTTTCATGTGAAGAAACAGGATTTGACATAATTCTGATGGCTTTAGAATGAGGTTAATATGATCAACTTCTTAAGTACTGCATATGAAGATACAAGTTACAAAATAGGCCTGGTTTAGGCCTTTTCCCAATAGAAGAGTTGGCATGTAAATGCCAGAGGTAGCATGCTCATCCTATAAGGTTTTCTAGCAATTTTTGATAAACCCCTTATTTTGATGGCCTACCTCAAAGAATAGTATGTACACAGAAAGATGAAAATAAAAACTTGCGTCTAGGTAAAGTTTCAGCTGCCTCCCTGGTGTATCTGCATGGATGATCTTCCTTAATCCAGGAGGCGCCATTCGTTAAGAACTTCACTACTTAAAGGAAATCATATGGACATGTTCACAGGTTTTAACTAGCATTTAACTGCTTAAAAGCTACAACAAAATCTATCAGATTTGTTTTTTCATGAGACAAGCCATTTCATAGAAAGAATAATTAAGACATATTTATGAATTGTATTTCTTACAAAGTTTCTTCATTGTACTCATCAGAGAGCCATATTGTTTTTGTTATATACTTCGTTCGTGTGCGAATGATGAAGACACATGGCGATGCTGAACAAACACTTTATTCTCCTTCTACAACAACCAAGCAAAAGCAAAAGGCATGCAGGCCTTTTTATATGGCCAGAAGCCCGGACAGTGACAACCAATAGGAACAGAGCATTTCCACGCCTTGCGCATGCACACAAGGCCGGTGCAGCTCTTTCTGCTCCCGTGTAGCTTTTGGAATGCCCAGGACCAATGAAACATCCCGAGCCTGCTTTTGCAGGCTCAGGACACAACACCCCTCTCCCCTAGATGGAACATACTTCGCGTACACACATTACATTGTGCATTGGGAAGAGTGGCATACAGTTGCATTATTCAAATGCAAAGAGTGTGGAATCTCGAGTCTGCCCTCAGGCAAACCCTCTTCAGTATTTATTAATACAAATAAATATATCCGAAATCAAAAATAATACAAAATAATCTACCCACGAGTTACTCCCCTTATTCAGGGGCCTCATGAGCAGGTCCCTCGTGATTTGACAGCAACCTCACAAAGTCTCTCAGATTTTGGGATGGGCACTTGGCCCGCTGTGACCTTCTAAGGCCCGGAGAGATTGCCTGGCCCACCTGCTCATCTACCAGACCAGGCAGGCCAGGACATTGCTGCCCTAAATCTCCAGGTGACCCTGGTGAGGGTGCCTGGCCTTCCTGCTTGCCTACCAGACTAGGCAGGCCAGGACTTTGCTGCCGCAAATACCCGGTTGACCCACCCAGCTGCTGGCTGGCTGGACCCTCTAAGTCCATGCCAGCATACCTTGGAGGGGTGGAAGTCTCTGAGTCCACAATGGACCCCTTTTGGGAACACTGTCCCTTGAGCCCAAGGCCAGCAGATGGAGAGGGCTGGGTAGCGGACGTGCCCCAGTACTCTGTGGCCCCCAAGCCCGTGCCAGAGGTTCCAGAGTCAGGAGTCACCTCCATGGCAACCCCCTTTGCTGGTAACTTCCTTTTGGGAGCAATTGCTGAATTAGGCAAGCGCTCCTGATGGAATTCCTTTTCTCTTGCTGCTTGTGATTTGTGTGGATACCCCCAGTCAGTCTCCCTGTCTGGAGTAATTATGAATGTGTGGGATGACCCCCTATCCTGTGAATTTCTGTTTGGAGCACTTGCGGAACCTTGGGATGGATCCCAAACAGCCTCAGTAGCAGCTAGTGAGGGCTTGTTAGGCCTGGAAAACTGTGATGCATATTATGGTCCTCCCTCCCCCCCCGAGCAGAGCCAGGAGCAGAAGGGTGAGAGTCCAATCTCCAATGCAATTGGTCTATGTGTCTGCGAAGAACACGGCCGTCACCCAAGACAACTTCGTATGACAATGGCCCCGAGACCTTGCAGACCACAGCTGTGACCCAGAGATGTCCAGGCCCATAGTTTCTTGCCCAAACCGGATCACCCACCTGGAGTCTCCTAGGTGCCCGTGGTTGTGACACCTGTGAAGCCACCCAGTCAGGGTGGAGCCTGTCCAGTTTAGTGATGAGGCGGCGACCCCAGCAGAGTTCAGCAAGACTCTTCCCTGTGGCTGTGTGGTGTGCACGAAGAAAATCAGCTAACCTGTGATGCCAGTTACCGTAAGTCAGTTTCTTGAGAGCATCTTTGGTGGTGCGCACCATTCTCTCTGCCAGTCCGTTGGAGGATGGATGGAAGGGAGCCAATGTTGCATGCCGGATCAGGTTGGCCTGAAGAAAAATCTGGAACTCAGAAGAGGTAAATTGAGGGCCATTATCTGAAACCAGAACATCTGAAAGACTATGTG